AGGGAGTGATGTAAATGTTTATGATTGCCTATCAACTATTTAAAGTGAAATTTACCTTTTATTTGAAGTTCTGTTTGCCTGTTAATTTGTTAAATTCACAGTTTACATCGGTTCTGATTCAAGTTTAAGTAAAAATAAATGTGAAATCTTTTTGCTCATTTCATTTTAGTTTAGTATGTTTTAGTTAATGGTTTTCCCAGTGGTATGTTGCTTTTACTGCCTTCAATTAGACTGCAGAAACAAAGGGATCTTCAATCTGCAATTTCAGATAATCCTAACCAATTTTGAACGAACTTAGATTGTATGCTGTATTTACTTCGATTTTACAAGATTAAGACAAAAGGGAAGGCAATTAACAAACAATTGTGAATGTGCCAGCTGTGACTCTGAAACTATTGGTAAAAAAATCTGTTAAAAGGTGAATTTATTTTCCACCATCAATGCATCATTTTGTTTTAACTGAAAATGAAGCAAGGACTGAATGTTAAGTACATCAAAAGTACATTTTCTGCTGTATGAGCGGTCTTCAAAAAGTGTTGCTGGATCAGAACCATAAGCTTGCCCGCTGAACCCAGAGACTCGTTATTAGACATTTCTTGGGATGTTTGTTTAAAAGCATTTTAGTAGCTTAAAACAAGCCACTCTAATAAAGCACTCAGAGCTCACCACTTCTTGATGCTTGCATGAATTGCTGGTAAAATAGAGTTGATGGTCCAGTTCAGAAGTGAAGCTAGTCTCTGTTACTTAGTTTCTGTTGTGCTATATCCAATTCTTATTTCTGCTGTCGGTGGATTGGATGGCTGGTTTGAGTGAAGATCTTACCAAGCATGAATGTTCACCTTGTGAAGGTTTTGACACATTGCACTAGGATTTGGGGCTTTTTCATGTATAGAGGGCAAACTCAAGCTCTCTAATAGAGTTATTTGTACTTTTGTTTCTTTTCCTGTAATGAAAAAGTAGCAAAATATATGCTGAAAGTTTTGCGTTGCTATTAGGAAAATACTGAATGTTCTAAATATGCTTATGGTTTTCGCATGTTAGTTTGATATATTTTTGAAAGGAAACCATTGGCATCCAATTAAGGCTAAAGTGAGAGTATAAAGCTAATGTGAATTAGTAAAGATTTGTGAAACGTGTACAATATGGTCAGAGTTTTGATATTTCTCTGGCTCCTCCCCCTTGCATGTCATTTACTATAAAATATGAAATGATAGTGTGGGCATGGTGGAGATTGTACTGGTGTCTTGGAACCTTTCCAGTTTTATTCATGGGATGTAACTGGTTAGGCTAGCATTTATTTCCTGTCCACGTTGCCCTTGAAGGTATTAGTGAGCTTCCTTATTGAACTGGTTCCATCTATTTGGGGTAGACACAATCACAGTTCTATTAGGAAGGGTGATCCAGGATTTTAACCCAGTAACAGTACAGTTCCTAGTCAGGATGGTGTGTTGCTTGGTGGGAAACTGAGGTGATGATGCTGCCCTTGAAAGATAAGGCTCGCCAGGTTTGCATTGTGATGAGAGTCTAGTGATAGAAGTCCTCGTGACTGAAACAACATGTTGCAGCGAATGGCAGGAAGTGCTGGGTGAATAATAATTGTGGGGTTGAGAGAGTTCACGCATCAGGTAAGTTTTAATGACTTTTATCCAGAGGAATTGGAGCTTAATTGTGATTAGGTGGGGAAAATTGAGGCTAAACTTTTGCACATTCTGGTTCTCCTCATTAACAGCTTCCGGCTTGGAGTTTTGTTTGAAATATTTTAATGGACTTTTAAACACTGCCCAATGCTGAGAGAACTTTAACTTGACATCCACCCAGAGTGTGGTGAGCCGTCCCTAGTTAAAGCCGATTCTCAGGTTATAACTTTGTGCTTTTATCATTTTCGTAAAAGTCAATAAATGCATTTAAAGGTAACCTCCAAGTCATAGGTATGGACAAGTTGTACCAGTTTTCTGAAAACAGGAAAATTAAGAGGAGCATCAGGTAAGTGGCCTAGTTCTGTTTTGTTTTCTGTGCACCTTAGGTGGGTCCAGAGAATACCTCTTCACCTTCAAGATGGAACTGGAAGCTGAGTACAACTTTAGTTGTGGCATTGAAACAAGATGAGAGGGATTCTGCTAAACTGAAATTGAGCCATACATTATTTAATATTTACAATAACATTTTACTTATCTCCTATTTTAGTCTTCTATATCAATGGTGTTAGTTATGTTTCTTTTAGAATTAACACATGCAAAGTAATGTAATCAATGGGGGAGATGGTGGTAAACAGCTACTGTCAGTGGAATAGTATTCAGAGATCTGGGTTAATGCTCTGGAGACATGGGTTCAAACACCACCATGATGGCTGGTTGGAACTTAAATTCACTTACTTAAATTTGGAATTGAAAGTTAATCTCAGTAATTGTGACTGAAGCTATGATTTGATTTTACTAAAATCCTATGTGATTCACTAATGCCCTTCAAGCCAGGAAATCTGTTACCTTCACCTGTTCTGACCTTCATGCAATTTCAGACCTAAAAAATGTGGCTTACTTCTAACTCCTCTGAAATAGCCTAGTAGGTCATGTAGCTAAAGAATAACTAGTGATGGGCAACAAATGCTGGCACTGCCAGCGATGACCCATATCTTAACACTTTTCTTACAAATTTATAATGTAAAAATTTAGTTTTATTTGGCAAAATTTCTTTTGTGGACCCGACAACAGTTTGAGCATCTACCTTCCATGTCACAGGGTTGTAGTCATGGGTGATTTCAACTTTCCAAATATTGATTGGAAACATTTTGGTTGTAATAGTTTAGATGGAGTGGATTTTGTTCAGCGCGTTCAGGAAGGATTCCTGACACAGGATGCAGATAGGCCAATACGAGGAGAGGCCACTTTGGATTTGGTGCTTGGCAATGAACCGGGCCAAGTGTTAGACCTGTTGGTAGGAGAGCATTTTGGCGATAACGATCATAACTCTGTTACTTTTACAATAGTCATGGAAAAGGATAGGTACATACAGCAGGGTAAGGTTTATAATTGGGGGAAAGGAAATTACAATTCTGTTAGGCGAGAACTGGGTAACATAAAATGGGAACAGATGCTGTCAGGGAAGAGCACTATTGAAATGTGGAGATTGTTTAAGGAATGCATACTGCGTGTGCTCGATATGTTTGTCCCTAGCAGGCAGGGAAGATGCAGTCGAGTGAGGGAGCCTTGGTTCTCGAGAGAGGTCGAACGACTGTGGTTAAGAGGAAGAAGGATGCTTATGTAAAGTTTAGGAAACAAGGAACGGAAAAGGCTCTAGAGGGATACAAGTTATCCAGGAAGGAGCTGAAGAAAGGACTTAGGAGAGCTATAAGGGGGTATGAGAAAACCGTGGCAGATAGGATCAAGGAAAACTCCAAGGCTTTTTACACGTACATGAGGAATAAGAGAATGACCAGAGAAAGGGTAGGGCCAATCAAGGATTGTAAAGGGAATTTGTGCACGGAGCCTAAAGAGATAGGAGAGGTCCTTAATGAATACTTTTCTTCGATATTCACAACTGAGGGACCTAGTTGTAGAGGAGGACAGTGTGAAACAGGCTGGTAGTCTAGAGGAGGTCAATGTTAGTAAGGAAGATGTACTAGGAATTTTGAGGAAGTTGAAGATAGATAAATCCCCCGGGCCTGATGGGATTTATCCAAGGGTTCTATGGGAAGTGAGGGAAGAGATGGCAGGGCCTTTGGCGATGATCTTTTCGTCCTCACTGTCCATGGGTATAGTGCTGGAAGATTGGAGAGAGGCAAACGTCATTCCCTTGTTCAAAAAAGGGAAAAGGGATAACCCCGGAAATTACAGGCCAGTTAGTCTTACATCAGTGGTGGGTATATTATTGGAAAGGGCTCTGAGAGACAGGATTTATGATCACTTGGAAAGGCACAGTTTGATTCGTGACAGTCAGCATGGATTTGTGAGGGGTAGATCATGCCTCACAAACCTTATTGAATTCTTTGAAGAGGTGACCAAACACTTGGATGAAGGTAGAGCAGTGGATGTGGTATACATGGATTTAAGTAAGGCGTTTGATAAGGTTCCCCATGGTAGGCTCATGCAGAAAGTAAGGAGGCATGGGATGGGGGAAATGTGGCAGATTGGATTCAGAATTGGCTGACCCTTAGAAGACAAAGGATGGTAGAGGACGGAAAATATTCAACATGGTGCTCAGTTACGAGTGGTGTACCACAAGGATCTGTCCTGGGTCCTTTTCCATTTGTGATTTTTGTAAATGATTTGGATGAAGGAGTGTAAGGGTGGATTAATAAGTTCGTGGACGATACGAAGGTGGGTCGAGTTGTGGATAGTGCGGAGGGCTGTTCTAGGTTACAAAGGGACATTGATGGGATGCAGAGCTGGGCTGAGAAGTGGCAGATGGAGTTTAACCCTGAAGAATGTGAGGTGATTCGTTTTGGAAGGACAAACTTGTAAGCAGAATACAGGGTTAATGGAAAGATTCTTGGCAGTGTGGAG